ACTAAAAAAAAACAATGGTCTTTTTTGTACATTTTTGAAACTTCGTTACCTTTTTAAGTCATTTTCCCTATCGTTTGTAACCCATGTTTTTAGTATTATGAATGTAAAATAATGTGTATTCAAACTTGGGCATTTGTAAGTTATGAAATAAGATCGTAACAATGTTTTATTAAATACATAAATTTGTACTGTAAAAATATCATCTGTCGGGTTTTTTTCGCCTTTAAAAAAAACATATGTTATTTGTTTGATTTTATAATTATATAAAAACTATAAGTTAATGTGTAAATATTTAAGTGAGACTCATTTATAAACATGGAAAATGTTTATAAAATATAAAAGTTTATAAATTGCTGATATGACATGAGAAATGATAGCTTGACAATATTTTGGACCTTTAAACATCATTGGAGATGTTGTGGTCATTTTTATGAATATCCCACCCAAATGAAAACACTTACGATGAGAGATAACATAAACTAAAACATTGCAATTTGTAAGCATACAAAAAATACTTTAGAGTTCTTACAAAACTGTAGCTTTTGTCTCTAAATTATTGTCAAGGGTAAACTTTGAGAATTTATATTTAAAGTTTTAATTTCTAGTCGCTACATGACCTACTTTGCATGTTTTATCTTTCTCTTAAGATTATGTTTTGAAAACTAGCTTAAAATTTAGTTTTTAGTTTATAAGCAAACTTATCAATAAACTGGTCAAGCTAACATATCAATAAACTATCTTATAAGCTACTTTATAAACTACATTACAATAAACTGCTTTTATAGTTTTATCAAACACTACATTACAATAATTCATATATCAAATTTTAACAAATATATCTACCTCCCACAAAAATTTCTAAGAAACATTTGTTCCTTAAAAGTTAAAAGCATTAGATGTGAAAGAAAATGAAGCATATAAAATTCATGGCATTGGTTCACTCAGAAATATTCTGAAAATACTCCAAAATTATTTCAGGGTTTTGAACAACTTAGTTTATCTATATGATTTCATCAATCATCAAAACAAAAATTCTGGTCCTTTGAGTTTGACTACAAATCTAAAGAATCCTTGACTATTATAATTATTATTAAAAAACAAAGTTGAAGATTCACATTGGTGGTCTCCCAGAACCAAGTAGTTGGCCTACAAGATTTGTGACCTGAAGATAAATGAGAGAGCATGTTACACATTCACATATGTTTAAAATATATTTGTTTGCATTATGATTATAAATCTTGAATAAAATGTTTGAAGAAATGTTACCTGCCAATATTTTGAAACACAACGATCAATGCAGCTGTTTTCACCCATGTTTAACTCAGACTCTTTGTACCTAAAACAAAACAATTAAGCTATTCAAAATCACATCTTTGAAACACCATATTTTGAATTAATCTTGATTGTTGTGAAGAGAAGAGATGATACCTTTTCTCAACACATTTAGCAAAACATGTATGAGTTAGCCTGCATCAAATCATACATATGTGTTAAATATAAAACTTGCATAACATGGGAAATGGAAGAGATACATTATAGAGTGTTGTTTAATTAATAGAAAGGTCTAAAATCTTGATGTCAAGGCATGATGAATTTTAAACACATTACAAAATAATCCAAAAATGAAGGTTCTTACTTGTTAAACAATTCAACCCTGTACTCCATCTCCTTCTCTGCCATTCCAAAGATCTATACATCAAGAAAAACAAAATAAGGTAATTACAACCTAATCTTTAGAGACAAGAAAACAAATGGAGATGCAATGTATTTTTTTCTTTCAGACCAATGAATTACTAAAAACAAATCAAATGGAGTTTACCTGTTCCTTGTCTAATGCAACGGGCATCTCATTATTTGCAGCCATTGTAGGTTGAGTGGAGATGAAGAAACTAACAATAACCTGCAAAATTTAAAATACAGATTATAAGTGTTTGAAAAGTATCAGACCAATTAGCAAGTATTTTCACATAAGAAAATGAAACCACAACATAATTTCTGTTCTATGGATTCAGAAAAATGTTATTAGCAACCATACTTGATACAATGCATTAGACAAATAAGTGTGTATGATCAACAACTCCCTAAATCAGTATTTAAACTATGACAAACTTGGAAGATTTACAAAAAGGGATACTTCTGGTAAGGGTAAACATCAGACTACTTTTTGTTATGTCAAATAATCCAATTATGCATATTAACCAATCAATCACGATCAAGAGCAAGAACAAAGTGAGAATTCAATCACTTCTCACTATCTCATTGGTAAGTATGGTTCAGATCCATTCAGAACCAAAAAAGACTCGATTCTTTCCAACAAAAAAGCATCCCGAAATCACATCCACTATAAATCAAGTTCGACTAATAAAACTATTGAAGAGAAAGAAAGGGATTTTTTTTCAGATTCTGATATCATGATATCAGAGAGGTCACAATAGCGATTGAAGAATAAAAAAAAAACCCTCCAGCGATGTCACGGTAGCTCTGTTTGGGGTCGACTTCAGAGGGGGTTGTTTAGTTCGAATGTATAAAATGCGATTAAAGAGAGATGGAGATAGAGATAGAGGTAGAGAGATATTACCTGCGATGAAACTCCTTGAACAACCCTGTGACGAAGTGGAGAAGACGCAATGGAGAGGTTGTCGGCTGAACGAGAATGAGAGGATGTCTAGGTTTACCTGATGAAGCGTATGGTAATATTTAGTGAGGGCAAAATCGTAATTGCCATTTTCCATTTTCCATATCAAGGAATTAATTTCAGTAGGACAGTGAAGGAATGAATTTTCCTTCGTTTGAAGGAAAAATATTTAATTTAGGACCTTCTCTTAAATTCCATTCCATTCCTACCAAAAAAGCAAGATTCATTTTCTCTTGAATTTCATTCCATTCCTGCCAAACAAACAACCCACGGAATTAGAATCCTTTTCCCTTAATTTCATTTCATTCTTGCCCAAACAAACAACCCTTAGGGTTTTAGTAAGGGAAAAGAATACCCAACTGTTTTCCTTTTGGTTTTTGATACTAGGCACAATAGTTTTCTTTTCAACAATATTGTCATAGTTCTTTCCGTTTTTTGCAATTCGGTCATTTTTAGATTTTTACATTTGTACTCGTACTATGGGCATTAGTACTTTAGTAGTGTAAATCTAGGCTCCAAATCAGGCTTGAAAGTTGAAATCGGTCCTTTCTCGTAAAGCAACCGATAAAAGTAGTGAGCTTTGATTAAACGAGGCTAACCTTTGAATAGGTCTTGCCCAAATAAACTGAATTGTAAATAATAATTGGGCCTAGAAACCGATCTCAAGCAGGGGCCAAAAAAATACATTTAGTTTTTATTTATAAAAATTAACTTGGACTGTTGATGTATTATTTTTTTCACTTGGACAATCTTATGTATATAAAATGATTTTTTTTACCCTTAATAATTATTTCTTTTAAATTTCTTTTATTTTGTTTATCTTTTAGATTAAAAAAATAAAATATGTATCACCCTCTTCCATTTCTCTTTCCCCATTTTCCTTCTACCTTCCTTGTAAACCAAAATACACTACATCATCGGTGATTGGAAACCACAATACATTATATTACCGACAAAAACCCAAGTATCAACATTGGTATTATCCCCATCGCTCTCATCCTTCTTTCTCCGACAAGACCAACCACTGCCCTAGCCACTATACAATGTGGTCAACTCCTAACCCTAGCAGCCGCTACCCACCGAACGATTAGATTTCGTCGGGATTCCGTTCGGGGAGTTACAAATCAAGAAGGCGACGAAGTATAGTACTTAGGTGAGGGGTTTCTTGAAGCTCGCAGGGAACGACATATATGGTATGAATGGGACAATAATGATGGTTTGAACGGGGCGACGATCTCCACTCTGTCATCGTGATATCCCTCTGTCTCTCTTGCCATCTTTCTCGGTATTGCATATGTACACGTACATGTGTGTGTGTTTTGTGATTCTTTTTTCTTTCTGATTAGTCAACATGAAGGTTTGAAATTAAAGGGGTGGGGAAAGTAAAAAGGAGGGTAGAGTAGTGGGCATGAAAAATAATAATAATAACATTAAACTAATTGCAAAATAAAAACACAATGGTATTATGGTCATTTCAGTTTTGGCATGAACTAAGTTCACAACAAAATCGTCTATCAGGGATGAAGCGTACAAGTTTAAACCAAAAGGGGGATAGTCCGAGTTAATTTTTGAAAGTAGAGACTAAACGTGTTTTTTTGGGCTTGCACGATGGATGATTCGTGTAATTTACTCTAGTTTTTGGGATTTGCAAATATAGGATTAGCTCACTTGGTAGATATTTTACCTCTCAGATTGGAGGTCCTTGGTTTTAATCTGGGCGTTTGTGGTTTCTACTAACTTGATAGTATTAACTTTTTATCATTAACTAGTCGTTCAAAAAAATAGTTTTTAGGATTTTGTTATAGATTTTGTTGTATGGTCTGCATTTTATACATAGATATTGGACATATATAATCCTATATAGTTTTGGAGTTTCGAACATATAATGAAATCCATGATTTTTGTAACATCCCAAAAATACGGTCCAAAAATTTTATTTTCAATTATTAAATAAACCATAGTTATCAAATCATCACATAAAATCATAAACCATTGTATCTCAAAACATCAAAATCATCTGTCAAATATATATTAGAGTGAAACATCCCAGGCTAAAAACATGGTGTGTGCACTGCAGTCATCCCGAGCTCTTCCCCCTTGCTACCGGAAGTACCTAAAACCAAAACTGAAAACTGTAAGCACGAAGCTTAGTGAGTCTCTCCAACATACCATACACATAATCATGCTACTTGGAGATACGGGCCTCGCCCACACTCAAGGAGATATGGGCCCCGCCCACACTCAACTAACTAGGAGATACATGCCCCGCCCACACTCAGCTGACTACGAGATACGGGCCCCGTCCACATTCGACTAAATACGTGATACGGGCCCCGCCCACACTCAGCTACTAAGCATACATAGAAGTATCACACAGACAACAAGTATAATCAAATATATCAATCAATCATATATCCATACTCAAATAATGCTTATGAGATACGGGCCTCTCCCACACTCAGCTATATATGAGATACGGTCCCCGCCCACACTCAGCTACTAATCATTACACATAACATATACGGGTCGGCCTTGGTGCCTTCGACCCGTCCAAACCAGGAGGAAACTCACCTCACAAAGCTGATTACGGAATCTCGCGGTAAGGAATCTCTAACCGTTGATCTAACGACTCCCCGACTATCATTATCACAATAACCGTTAGTCAAAATCCAATAATCCTTCTTAGGGTAAAATGACCATTTTACCCCTGGTCAAAGTTAACATTCTGGTCAAAGTCAACATTTTGGGTTAACTCAACTCGTCGAGTTCCATAAATCAGAAACCCTGAAATCGCGATCCAACTCGTCGAGTTTCTCCTATCAACAGAACCAGGACTTTCCAACTCCACCCGTCGAGTCCGTCCTAAACTCGTCGAGTTTTTCCTTCTACATGGTCGGGGCATTTCGACCCAACTCGTTGAGTTCCTTTATGAACTCGTCGAGTTCTTCAGTCTGATAAGCTATCTTAATAGATTAGGCTTCTATCCTTCATATTTAAGCTCCATACTTCATATACATACTGAAAATGTCCTCTTAAAGGTAAAGTTTCCAACTTTACCCGTTAATACCCTTCCTTAATGGGTTTAGCTCAAACCCTAACTCTTTAAGACCTAGATCTTGATCCAAAAGCCATTAATACTTCAAGCTAAGGCATATAAACTGAGATCTCGACCCTAGACACTACATGAACACGTAAAGTCTCTGACTTTCTCTCCATGCATGGCCTTTTGGAGCTTAAAAGGCCAAAATGACATCCTAAAGCTTGCATGGTGCTTCAATGGCCATAAAGTTTGCACCTTTATGCCATGAAAGCCCTTTAAGGTCCTAGATCTGGAAGTATACTCACTTGGGACGTCCATTTCCCTGAACCAAAAACCCAATAAAAGTGAAAATGAAGAGATCTAAGAAATCATTAAGAAAGTTTGAGACTTGCTTACCAAAAAGTGACGAGGATGGGGTGAAGTTTCTGGATCTACTCCCTCCTTCTTGAGTCCTCAAGCTTCTTCTTCTTCCACAAGCTTCAAATACACAAGTTTTCTCTCAAAAATGACTCGCAAGCTCACACAAGGCATTAGGGTTTCGAGATTTAGGGTTTGGGATATGGAGGTTGTAAATGAGGCCAACGTTTGGAGGTTAAGGTGTTTAAATAGGGTGCAAAACCCTGAAAATTAGGGTTTCACTCTGCCAGTCCTACTCGTCGAGTTGAGGCTCTCAACTTGTCGAGTAGACGTTACAACCCGCGTCCAATTCCATTCCTACTCGACGAGTTTGGGGCCTCTAACTCGTCGAGTTTAGATACAAAAGCAAATAAATCTTTAATTAAATACATGCCAGGAACTAGTCGTTACAATTTTGTCACAACTTCACCACTCGAATCCATGGTTGATCATATTAAGAAAGCACATAGTTTGAATTACCATTCATCTTTCTCTTGATATAATTTCCTTGAAATCATGACATTTACATTAAGATAGGAATGTACTTTGATATACTTTAAAACTGGCTTTACAATATTTTCAAGCATTAAAACACCACTGTAAGGAATCTTCATTAAATTTATAAACATATGGATGTTAATCAAAAAGAGTCAAGTTCTTTGCAACGATATGAAATGGACATGTTAACATTGAAGATTTGAAGTATTTAGGTAAGAGTATTGTTTTAATACTTGGGTATAAGTACTTAATTAAAAAGGTCAAGGTGTTTATATATGTTCAAAGTAATTATATGCTCAAGTATAAAGTAATTATATGCTCAAGTATGAACACTATTGAGAGTGTATACATAGGCTATCATAGTATATTGAAATGAAAGTCTTGATAACAATCTTTAGGTTGATTGTATAATTGATTGCAAGTAGATTATGGTATATAATGGTAGCAAGAAGAGGAAGATGTTTGAAGGACCATTGGAAATGTTATGGTTGGTTTAATATGGAGGGTTGAAATAAAACGTTAAGTTAGGATACGAATAGATGAAATTCACATCTTTTCAAATTGTTATTCTCTAGCAGAGAACGGAACAACATGTTCTTTATGAATATGGTACATATCTACAAAAGACATAATGTTCATTTTAGTATTTCTAGTATTAACAATTTATAATTCTATCATCTTTGTGTTTATAAAACATCAATTTATTAAAGTTTAAAATTCACATTAAAACTTATTAACACATGCAGCTGATCATAT